AAATATGGCCTATAATTCGATGGAAAAATAATTCGAAATTTAAATATATGCTTTAATCTACTTTCACAATGGCTCATGTATAAAGTTATAAATATAATAAATTTAGATATACTGGATGTGAGTTATTAAAAAAGAGATGTTTGATCGTTACCGTAATATCGATAAACAATAAAACAATATTATCGTCAAAGTTACACGTTGTGTTGCAACGTAAAACAAAAAGAAAGAAAGAAAGAAAGAAATGAAGAAAATAAATAAAAATAACTTAGGCTCGTTCCACCGAAGTGTACAGCTTGTTGTTCATTGCATATGCAAAAAAAAAACCATACCATATATATCCATACACACACACACACAAAAGCATTAAACCTTTAATAACCAGCAATAGTTATTATAATACAATTTGGTAAACAAATTAACAGAAATACACGATAGATATCTGATTCTTCGTTTTGCTATTGTAAAAGCTGACCTTTAGTGCCATAAACTTAAATCACGATTAAAAATGATGATGATGATGATGATGATGATGATGATGATGATGAAAAGAAACGAGAAGGAAGAAATGGTGGATGGAGGAGGTATGAGATTCATAAAAAAAAAAAGAAAACAAAAATGAAGAAATAAAATACGAGAAGGATTTTTAAAATATTGCGATAGCACCCGAACCGATCAGTCAGTGGTAATAATATTTTCTAACGGCGATTTTTCTTTTTCTAACGAACGAAAGAAACAAACAAAAAAATTAATAGAAAAGATATACTATATATTTTACATATTGCATAATATAGTTATCGAGTAATGATATATTGTATGTAGAGATTTGTCGATAATTATATTAATAATTAATTATATTACAAGGACAACACAGAAAATTAAATTAAATTAAATGATATTAATAATTATAATTATAATAATAATAATAATTATTATAATAATAATGATAATAATAATCACGAATCAGCTGACAGAGAAAAAGGAAGAAAGTCGATACGTTAGTTCGACTTAAAAGATTATTAACAAAATAATACCAAAAAATCCTTTCTGGCATAAGTCATTTATTGAGACTCGTATAATGAATATTTTAAAAAAAGAAATAGAAAGAGAGAGAGAGAGAGAGAGAGAAAGAAAGAAAAGGGATGATTAAAAAATAAAAATAATAGGGAAAGAATAGACGCGAATAAAAATAATTGAATAAATAAATAAAAAAATATATAAAGGAACGCATATGTTTGCTGGATATAATCCTCGACAAAAATTCTTATCTTTAAAAAAAAAAAAAAAAGAAGAAAAGGTTAAAAAAACGGATTTGAACGTTTCTTCGAGAAAATAAATATAAATATTCTGTATGTAAATAATATATAATTTAAAAAAAAGAAAAGAAAATAAAGCGATAAAGAGAAAGAAAGAAAGGAATGAGAAAAAAGAACTGAACCAAATTGATAGAAAGAACAAAAAAAAAACAAATGAATGAAAATAAAATATGATATTTATTCTATATTTCGCTAAGCGAAATGTGATTCGACAAATTCGAATAAAAAGTCGCAAACACAACAATAAGAAAAAAAAATAATTAATGTTTTAAAAAGCTTACGTTTGTACGCATACATGCGTAAGTAGATAGGTAGGGTATGCGTACGTATGAATGGTTATTTATTATATATTATGTGCGCCTTAATTAAAACAAAAAGAAAAAACAAACAAACAACCCCCTCGATCTTTCGATTTTTCATTTACGATCATTTTAACGACGAGATTCGATTATGTATTTAACCCTTTCCCATATAAATTCGTTCGTTCGTACGGGACCTTTTTACGTGTAACGAAAGGGTTAATACATAAACGATGTACAATTAAATGTACAAGTAAATATTTGTATGTGTATGCATATAATATATCGTCTCGTCGAAATACTACGGTGTGACGTGAGAATTTTTCAAGAATTTTTTCTCTATCGGTTATATCAAATAAAATTTATTTTCTTTTATGCGGTAAATAAATAAACAAATAAATACTCTCTGCATCGTATTATTTTTTTAGTTAATTGAAAAGAAATAAAGATACGGAGAAAGAGAGAGAGAGAGAGAGAGAAAGAAAAAAAGATGATAGATAAGGGAGATAAAATTTGTTGGTAAAAAGAAAAAAAAAAAGGAAATGAAAATCTCAAACGTAAAAAGGAAAATAATAATAATAATAATATATACGCCTAATATCGTTGGTATATTTAATATAATATTAGCACGGCATTGTTGATATCTTTACATCCAATTGAATATTTAGAATAATCGCACGGCATCGCAAAAGTACCTAGGAATATTTAATATATTCTTTATTATATGAGAGAAAGAGAAAAAAGAAAAAAAATAAATGAACCCCATATAAAAAAAGGACACGTACTTACAAAAAAAAAAAATAAACATAATACACAGACATATACACATAGGTATTACATGCAGGATATACATAAATACACATATACACATGCATAAATGCGTGCACATGCTGTCTCATTGTATTTGTATGATAGAAAGAATTAATATTGTCGTGTCAATCATACATAAAAATATAAATACATAATTCATTAAAATATCACACCGGGAGGGGAGCCATTTTAATCATTAAACTCTATATATAAAAAAAGGAAAAAAGAAAAAAAAAGAAAAAAGAAAATAAATAAATAAAAGAAAAAAGAAAAAAAAAACAAATAAATAATGTGTTTTACAGCGTAAAATTATATACCGGGTGTCTTCTAAAAGTGCGCATATTAATAATGTGCAAATTAAATCGCCTTTCCTGCTGTTGCTGCTGATGATATTTTTTTTCTTCCCATTTTCTTAACTAAATTTTGTAATCGGATTTAAACGCTAATTTTCGGATATTTATTGATTAATTGATTAATGAAAAAGATCTCGAAAAGAGAAATATATATAATGATGAAATTAATTAATTATGAGAGAAAAATAAAGAGTTGTAGAGTTTTAGGGAATCGTTTTTGAAAGTGATTTATAACGATTTGTATTGTATCGTAGATTGTATGATATATAAACGAGTTGAAAATGATTTTATTATTGCGGTCAAAGAGCCCGGAATGTTATTATCCGATGAATGTTATAAGTCTAAAAACAAAAATTCTATTGGATATAATCTGGTAAAATTCTTTTCGAAAAGAATAAAAAAAAAAACAAAAAAAAAGATTAAAGATGAAAAGTGAGAAAGCGAGCGAGAGAGAGAGAGAGAGAGAGAGAGAGAGAAAGAAAAAAAGCTCATTTTAGTCTTGTTCAACAGACAACTGTGATCATTTTAGAAACACCCACGTACGAAATTCAACGCCACGTACGAAATCGAACCAGCAATCAACTTTGTGATAGTCTACTGTGTACCGATCTGGTAAAATTCGTTGAAATAATCCCCCATTTCTTCTAGATAAGCTGTATAATTAATTAGAACTTTGTCACGTACACGCAAAAGAAATAAATATAAAGAAAGATGGTAAGAAAGAAAGAAAGAAAGAAAGGAAAAGAGAACAAAAAACAAAATAAAAAAATAAGAAACGTATTTAATACATTTAAATATGATAATGATGACGATAATGATGATGAATAATATGGAAATAAATTGTGTTGTCCCCTGATTTGTATCACGTAGGCACATTTAATAATAAATCGAAATATTATCTATGTTTTTTTATATATATATATATATATATATATTTATATATATATAATATATCGTATGTATCCCTTTCTATTCAATCAATGTTTTTTTTTAATGGTATTTTCAATGTTCACAACGTATACAAATTATTTATATACTATGTATATAAATATAGTTTCTGTTTATAAAAATTTCGTAATATTGTATTACAAGAAAATTTTGATTGTTTTATTAACAGTGTCATTAATTGTTTTTTTTTTTATTTCATCTATTTAGTTTGAAAATTGAAACTATTTTAATCGTATCGTAATATATATAAATACGAGAGAGAATAATTTATTATAATTAATATTTTATTTAAAGTTGCAAAAAAAGAATAAACATACGAAAGTATTTGGTTAGTAACTTTTAAATTTTTAGTTCATTGTATTACCTGTAGAGGGAAATGCAGTAGTGTCTCTGATAGAAAATGTATACCTGCATATAATTTTGAAGGTTCGAAGTGAATTTGTATATTATATTACAAAGTTTAATTATTTATGATTAATATTTAAGTTTAACATATAAAAATGTCTTCGTTTACGTTTGGAACGCCTACTATAACCTCAAGTAGTTCAGGTTTTGGATTTGGTACTCAAAGGTATATAATACTTTTTCATAATCTAACTTCTTATATTGAAATTTTTGTATATTATGATAGAAATTAATAATATTATGATTTATAATTGTGCGTGTTTATAATGTTGGTTTAAATAGCACGTCTTTTACTTCAACGACACCTGCAACCGGATTAACATTTGGAACATCAACTCCAGCTACTACCAGCAACTTAAATTTTGGTTTTGGAGCAACACCGACAACTGCTACACCTAATCAACCAACCGGTACATTTTTAGGAACTGGAACAGCCACGACAACTGCAACACCAAACTTCTTTTCAACTCCGACAACTTCTACAGCTCCTTTGTTTACGGGACGCAGTTTTGGAACGCCTGTTCAAAACAATACCTTAAAAGGGCCTTTAAATACCACACCTGCTACAGGAGGTCTAATGTTTGGAACTTCTACCAATACACGTAATATTAATATATAATAAAAAAATAGAATATAATAATTAAATAAAAGAGCTCTATACTTCAGCGAGGTAATTCATATATTTACAGCGTCCTTGTTTGGTTCTGTTAGTAGTAGTGGTTTAGCAGCTACTAAATTAACAACCACTACAACTACCACTGCAACTGTGGGTAGAGGATTAGGTGGTTTAGATGTTTCTGTTAATAATAAAGGTCTTTCTCAAGGTAGCAATAGTCCAACTGCTGCGAAAGAAAATTTATTACCCAACGAACTGTGGCAAACTATAGATAAATTCAAGTAATTTCAAAAATATGTCTCATCTAATCGATTATATTAAATTTTAATTATGCAGATATTATAACATTTAATCTTCTTTCATTTTAATCAGAGAATTTGTGAAAAAACAGAAGGTTCTATCTTCCGATATAGCGAGAGGTTCTGCAAGACCATTAAATCGTTGTGCAGAGGATACAGCATCGTTAATGGAACTTTTAACAACATTGGCAGGATCTGTTCAACGTGATCGCGCTTTTGCTGATAAGCTGAAGCAAGATACGGCAAAGGCGTTACAAAATGCAGAAATAGCTCAAAGAACAAATGATACTCCTTCTGGATTGCAATATGAAAATAACGCACCTCTTCTATTTTTCATAGAATTAGCAGAGAATTTCGAACACGACTTAATGTTATTTAGATCTCAAATTGAAACAACAGAGAAACATATACAAACAATGATGGCACCAAAGACCTTAACTCCGCAAGGTATAAATAATATTTATTAATAGTTATTAAATGTAAAGTAAAAATCATACTATTTCTTTATAGAACTAACAATGGCTATGAGTAAACTTCATGAGTCTTTAGTCGCGGTTGCTGGAAAATTACAAGGCGTACATTCAAAAGTACAACAACAGAAGGAACAGTATTTAAATTTTAGAAAATACGTCTTGAAAGATAACACTAACGTTTTTGATGATATTAAAACAAACGATAAATCATTTGGGAACACTATGGGAAGAATTACCAGTGGGCCAACACCTTTTGGTCCAGGTAGAATATCATTACTATATAATAATAATAAATATATATTATATTAGATATTTTAATGATTTTGTTTAAATAGGCAACAGAAGTTTCATATCTTCAACAGCGTTGAATTCTACTCAAGCTGCCGGTTTAGATGCACGAAATTCTTTAGGTAACTAAATAAGTGACAAATAAATTGCAATACTAATTTAATTTCACGCTAAAGACAAAGTCTCCCTAAAACAACGTGTGTTGTTCTCGTTGTTACAAATTTCCCATAAACATGTCCTACCTTCAGGTCTTGCGTGGATCTAGTGTAAGGTAGAAATCACTAACATTTAACGTCCGTATTAAGTACTGTAGAAGTAATGTATATAAAAGACATAAATCTGTTCTGTGGATTTATATATAATATACAGGATATCTGAGGTTCTTCTGGCCAAAAGGTATCAGCGCATTCTATGTACGAAAATAAGAAAAAAAATGTTATATTCTTTCTTATTTTCGTAAATAGAATACACGGACATTATTTGGTTGGAAGAATCTCAGACACCTTGTATATTCATATAGATTGTTTTTCTTTGTTTATACATTATATTATTATTTTATGTTTTGATTTTAATTTTGCGTTTGCAGGGGAAATGTAGAAGCTGTATTTTAGTTATTGAGGTATTGAATTTTACTTTCTTTTTTGTGTTATGAACTTATGGGAAATATAATGGAAGCTTTCCTGTTTAATATATTGGGAGCAAACTTGTGTTCATCGTATATAAAATAATTGGGTATATTATATATTAATATATGGGCAAAAAACAGAAAAATAAAAAATATTGTCTTTTGCTTGTTAAGGAATGGCTGCGTATTTTATGTATGCTTTAATTGCTCCTGCTTTATCTCATCAAAGTTATCATAATATATTTGCATATTATTTAAGAAGTGCTGGGTAAAATTTGTGAATGTAAAAAAAAAACAATATTTCTGCTAGTATTCATTTTGGCTAGCAGAATACTTTAACAAATGTAAGTGCAACCGTGGGTAAGATGTAGTCGATGTGATTCAGGAATTGTTCAAATCTGGGAAATGAAATTTGTAGTTACGTTAGCAAATTAGCTGATATTTCTATTATATTATCGATATATATATTATATTATCGATATATATATATATTATTTAATCCATATCTCTATATGGATTAAAGCTGCTGATAATGTGTAACTATCGTAAATCGTGATTTTATGAATTCATGGAAAACATCAAGCAGCTTCAGCTAATGTACGTACATTTAGGTTTACCGTGATATTTTTAAAGAACCCATTTTGATTAGTAAATATGTTGTTGCAGTTTGGGGAAATACGACACCAGTCCCTTCTGCTATAAGTACAACCATAGATACACCCGTCAAGCCACCAACAGCTAGCTTGAACTTCAATACGCCAACAAATCTTACTGCACCTTTGTCAACTATCGAATCTAATGCTAATTTTCAACTACAGAAACCACCGATTGGAAATAAAAGAGGGAAACATTAATTTTTACATTTCTCTTTCTCTCTCTTTTCTTTTTCTTTTTTATTTTTTATTATTCGTAAAAATATTAAATATAATATTAAGTTGCGGAAATCTTTTTTTGTATTCGTTTTGTTTTTAGTTATTCGTAATATCGAGTTTCATGCATGACTATTATCGTGTCTATTTAATTTAATTAATACAAAGTGGATTAGAAAATCTAAAAAATAATATACATATTTATGAACCATCACCTTATAAACGCTTTTATGTATAAACTAATTGAATTAGATAATTTTTTTTCTAATATACTTTTCATTATATTTACATTTAAATCTTTCTATCTATTATATTTTTCATATATACGAACCTGCGTGTTGTTTTTTTTTTTCAAAAAAAATTATAATATTTTCCTGAAAATGAAAATATTATTTTTATAACTTTTGAATACTTCTAAGAATAATTTCATTATATTTAATTATTAGTTGATTTAGATAAGTTAATATAATTTATATTCTTGGACCATGTTATCTGAACAGATAATTACATTTATTTATTATTTTTTTTTCTTTAATATTTAATAGTTCTATTTTACTACGTATTTTTAAATAACAAATATTCCATTTACCATTTATAGAGCACCGACTTGTAAAATTGGAATAAGTAATTTAAAAGCATCTTCAATGTACGAGCTTGCATTTTCAGCCTGAAAAAATAAAACAAAAAAATTAAATATTAGCAACACGATTGTACGTAATTTATAAGATTTATAATATATATATATATTTACTTCGAAAAAAACCGTTGTTATATTAGCATTGATGCTGTCTAAATTATTAGACATTTTAATAAACTCGTTTAATACATTACAAAAGTTTGTAGCCAACAAACTAATCTCATCAGTTAAGATATGCGTTAGACCAACTAGTGCTTCAGCTTCACTTGCTGTACTACGTCTTTCTTTAATTAAGAGTAACTCTGCGGTTTTGTGAAACCTCTCCACACTGACTGCAGTAAACTTTGCTATTGTAGAAATAGCATATTGAAAAATTTCCAGATTTGTATGAGACATAGGTGTAGCAAGATAAGAGCTAGATTTAACTTCATTCAAAACCTACAAAAAGTATTCTCACTAAATAAGAAGTAGCGGCGAATAGATATTGTAATAAAATTTTCTTACATTGTCGAGTTGTTCGTACGTGATGGCAAGTTCTAAATTTTGGCAAGCATCGGCTAAACGACTTTTCAGATCTTTCTCTGTTCCTGGTCTATTTTCATCATCCTCTAAATCGCAAAGCTCTTTAACTTGTTCTAATGTTTCTTGCAGGTGTACCAAATCCTCCGTGTCAAGGTTAATTAGATGCGATTGAATCTTAATGTTACATTGTTTCGACAACATTTCTAATGCTTCTAGATGAACCAGACCTTGATAATCGTCGAACAAAGATTCGAAATGGACCTTCCTCGCTAATTGTTTCTCTTCTATAGTTTTCTCTTCGGATTCTGCTTTCTCTTTTACTTCTCTAAGTATTTGAGATAAATTAGGTTTGTTTCCTTCGGTCATGAAAAATGCTTTCTTCTTTTTCAGACCAGGATCACCTTCTTGCAAAACTTCCATTGTCTTTTTACCAATAGCTTCTAAAGTATCTAAACCACCAGTCATTACTTTACTACCGGTTGATTCAACTAGTTTTGTAATGGATGATACTCCATATAGAAAACTACTAAAACCAAAAGTTCCTTGCGATAGATTGGATACGTTTTCTTTAGAGTCTTTTACTGTAAATATAAATATATATTAGACAATTACTAATTTATAGTAAAATATATAATTATGATAAAAAAAATAATTCATTATACCAGGAATTACAGCTTCTTCTTCTTCTTCTTTTTCTTTTTCTTTTTTAGTATCTTCTATCATATGTGATTCAGTAGTATCTGGCATGTTTATCGTCTCTTCCAAAAGAGATAATCCTTGACTAACATGATTCGTTAAAGTAGAAACCCCAACAGAAGCAGTGTTGATTAATGAACTTACACCCCAATTACCCCAATTGGACCACAAAGAATTATCAGAATCTTTATCGGTTATTGATAATCTATCTAATACAGGTTGAATTTTCTGCTCTGTCAAATCTTCCTCCAATTCAATGCTATTACCAAGTTTTTCCCATCCTTGCGGTTTAAATATCTCTTTAAATTTTTTATCCGATTTCAGTTCCTCAGGCATGTCAACTTCAGGGACATCTGTGTCTGAAAATTCACTGGAAACTATGTTCATCCCTTTAATAGGTTCTTTAGAAATGACATTTGTCGAAGGTATATTTTCTTGAACATTTTCTTGAACATTTTCACTCGTTTTAGGAATAATTTCAGGTTCTTTTTCCATCTTAGTTCCTAGCTTTCGAGCACCAAGTTTTTTAGGACCATCAGTTGTTCTTCGAGGTCTAGACAACGTTTCTTCTTTCAGATTGTTCGTCGTACTCTTAGAAGTAACTTCCATAGGATTATCTTTAATCGTAGCTGAAGTTTTTGATGCACTATTTTCGATAATCATTGTTTTTATTATTGTATCAGAACTATAAGAAGTCTCATCTTCCATTTTCTCATCAGATACTTTATTTACCTTATCATCAGACTTTTTAGTAGTTGTATCCTTTAAATTACCAATTTTATCCTCATCAGATGAAATTTCTCTTTTGTATGAACGATATCTTGGTTTTTCGCAGACTACTATATTTCTCCTAGGTACTCGTGGAATGCATTCGGTGTCATCGTCGGACTCAGAATCAACAACCGATTGCATAGTGTTCCATCTCATATCATCAACATTAGTCTTGGAAGTTCCGCCATGTGCTAACTCCTCATCAGCGCTCTCAAAATCGTCGCTTTCTGACGTTGCCATATTAAATTATCATTAAGATTATGTTATCTAGAATTTTTTTATTGATTTATTGCACTTTCTCTTTTTTATTAGATTCGTCATTCAGTCGTATGTTATATGTCATATACTTATCATCATACGTCACGAGGAATACACATGGTTAACATACATATACTCAAGCACTATAATTCAAATTGTTTTTAATTGATCACGTGGATATATAAAAGTGATCGGTAATATCTATATACAGCATTGTAAAACATTAAAATAAATGCCTTCGTGGCAGCATCTGTTTTATTAAATGTTCAAACTGCGCATGCGAGAAAACATTCATTTAAATTGACTCTAATGAAAACTAGTCCCTTTAAATCAACCTAAATTCATTCTCAATATATTATATTCTATCATTTTACTTATCATTATTTAGTATATCAATTAACATATTTATTTAATAAATAATATACAAATTGTAAAAACATAATTGTTTGAATTATACTCGAAATCGTACAATTAAATATTTCATTTTGTAAAGTGACGTTAAGGCTCGCATTTAATCAGCCAATCAACAACGTCTTCTTCGCGTATTGATACCAATTGTTCTACGTTCTCGAACTATTTTCGTACTTGGAAGAAAAAAATTTATCGCAATTAACTTTTGCTTCTCCTTTTAATTAACGTTGTTAATAATAATGGAAAGAAGATATTGCATACGTTATTATTATTATTTTTTTTTAAATAATTATCGTCGATAAAATGGTTTTATATAAAAGAATTATTCGACCGTAGGAAATATATCGTTCTGCGCATGCGCTTCTGTCGTCTTTGTTTCAGCTTCGCGCTATTTCCACACATAATACAAAAATTTATAGTTAAAAAGCTTCTCTGGATTTTTTTCTATATAAATAAATGTATTTAATAAAATACTTTCTCAGGTATTTTTTATCTAAATAAATAAATAAATAATAATAATCTAAATATATATATATATTGTGTGTGAAAATCCTTACACAATTTATTAATCAAACAAATATATGATATTAATTAATTCCTCCCGCTGAAATATACATATATCCATATCATTTCAAAATCATACTTTTATTTATCTTGGACAAATTGCCTCAGAGCAATTTGAATTTTGCGTGGTGGCATTCTTGCAAGTTCCGAGTAAACTCGTTGGTAGTTCGCAAAGGAATCGTCCTGGAGATAATAGAAGGTTTGAGAGGGAGGGGGTGTAAGAGTTATCTTCCTGGCGCGTGAATGCAAGGTGTAAACAAGAGAGAAATAGAAAGATAGAAATGAGAAAGATAGAAAGATGGAAAGATAGTGAGAGGGGGTGAGAGAAAGAAAGAGGGTGAGAGACAGAAACGAGACGGGCCGAATTGAATTCTTGCTCAAGTTGGAACAACCAGATTGTTGGTATCGTTGATTAATCTTGCTTCTGTCAGAACAAACAGTGTTTGTAACGTTATCTCTTCCATATGCTACTAACATAGAACCGTTTCAAAGATTGAGGACACTTTGGATACTGACAACGACGATGGCAATTAATTTACTCCATTCTAACTGTCCCAAGAGCTTTCTGAGTTGAGTTTATACCGATATTGACACGGTCCAATGGTTTTCTTTTAAAACTCTCTCTATCTCTATCTCTCTCTCTCTCTCTCACTTTTGTAGATTTACATCTATATTCCATTAGCCTTTCTTATTTTTCTTAAGTATTATCTTCTTATTGTTCTGTAATTAAAATAATATTAAAATTTTAGCGAATTTCAAGTAACGAAGAATGCATCTTTTTAAAGATGTGGTTTCAAATATACACAAACTTGCGGTTAAATATATGAGAGAGAAAGAGAGAGAGAGAGAGAGAGAGAGAGAGAGAGAGAGAGAGAAGAGAAGAGATTAATTTCACGAAACACCCAATATGTAATTTCGACTAAGAAGATATTATAAGCCTTTGCCACTTCGTGTGACGAACTTAATGAGATTTCTCCAAAGAAACATCTTCTACGTTTATTCCTTTCACTAAAACGTATAATCATTTCTTTTTTTTTCTTTACTATTACTCCGTTAACAATAACGACGTTTCAAAATGATTTCCTCCTATTTGTTATTCAACAAAAATGTTCAACTTTAGATCGAACGATACAAAAACATTTTTCATTTACATTCGTATAAAAATAATGTAAAATAAGAATAAAAAAATATATGTAATAAACGTTCGCGCGCTTGGAAATAATTGACAAAGTTTTTATCTCGAGGAAATAATTTATAATTGTATTTTTATTTTTCAAAAATTGTAACGGAGATAGGAAAGAGTTGGACAATTATATTAAATGTTTCGAAATGAAATGTCGAATCAAATCGTGATATATTAAATAAAATTAATTTTTTGTATACGCACATGTGCATACACAACATTCACAAATGTGTGCATACGTGTGGTCATGGGAATGTGAATAAGGAAGTAGAGAATAACGAGCAACTTTTTCTATCATACATAGACATATACATATAGTGCGTAAAAAAATTACCATCGCATTAGTATTATTATCCTGAAAGTATGTCGACGTTTAACGAAACTATTTCGTACACACACATAGACGTTTAACTTTCGTCAAAGGATAAAAATTTAAATATTCTTGGATAAACGAATTTTTGTCGTAATTCTTTAATCGACACTTCCGATCATCGATTTTCACATTTTATCTCTTTTAATGGTCGTTAAATAACATAGATGTAGTAATACATCGAACCTTTGATCGATTGAAGTAACGAAGCACGATATTTAGAGTTCGTTAAAATTTAACGATCGGAATGTTCGGAATGATAGAAAACTTTTATACCTCGTTTTTCATAACTTGTTTTAGTTTGAATGCTTGCATTTGCTATTTTCTATATGTGTGTACACGTAGTATTAATTACAAACCATTTAAATTAACAAGCATATTACACATAGCTTACTTAAATATAAACTTGTTTTTATTTATTATTTGTCACAATAATCATCAAATTGTCATTTTTATTTACGAAGTTTTGGGCTTTTTAATCTCTAAAATAAATGTTGGGTGTCGTTTTGTATTTAAAATACAATATTTTATTCACTATTAGGGTACGACGTCCTTTAATTATAAATTCTGTTAATTCAAGCAAAAATCTTGGAAAGATCTTTTAATTTGCATTTGCTAATGAGAGAAGTATAATTATAAATCCCTGTTAATAACACACCTCTTAAATTGTATTTAAATATTACTGAAATTTTTAATATTAAAAATCTTCTGAGGTTGAGGGAGGGAAAAGCCCCAATTATTTTAAATCGTACATATAGAAAAATATGCGCTTTCGTGTTTTAAAGAAACTCACAGAAAACTTTTCTAATTTCTATTTGTTTAGGAAACAAATTTCCTAATGCTTTGCTGCTAGAACAATTATTATTTTTGCAATTATATTATTAGGGATAGCGCGAACGCAGTCCCTACTACCAAAAATTGTACGCCCGAGATATCCACATTAGGGATATTCGCAAGGGTCAGCTCAACCGAAGTGCAATGGAAAAGCCTCACCCTGGAGGAACCGCCTTCATGATCACGGTAACCTCTGCGCCAGGTAAGTATGATTATTCTCGTTTCGGCACCTTATTTAACATCTTTTCAATATCGTATCGCAAGCGAGAAAATTCAAACACCCTATGCGATTACTAGTGACAATTTTTGGTACTAAAATCTACTATACATACGTACCCCTATGCATGTGCATACACACACATTATATACAATATATGTGTAACATAAGTCTCTAATAGAATCCTTATGAAATTATTTAAATAGGTTACAATACTTAATTAAACGCTACAGAATATTAAAATAAAATTATCCCAATTATGTTTCTATTATTATACCTCACTTAATGAAATTACATTACACATGAAATACTAATGCGAACAAGGATGGGCGTGCAACGTTTCATTGTGGTTAAGTATATTAACAATAATAAATTTAAAATGACAAATAAAAAAAAAGAAAGAATATGGAAAGAGAGGCATAGTTAATAAAACACATTGATAGTTACGCAAATTAATTTCTCTTTTTGTCGAATAAATAATGTTATTCCCTCGCGTATAAGTTCAACCCTTTTTATCCAACCAACAATGGGAACACGTTCAATGTCATGGGAGCTTAAAAAAAGAAAATTCCTTTGAGATATTCTATGTGAATACGTAGACCATATATAAGCTTATAATTAGTGAAGAAACGTATACAGGGTGTCTGAGATTTTTCCGGTCAAACACGATGCGGTGTATTTCTCGTACGAAAATAAGAAAAAAATATTCTATAAATATAAATCTGTTACATATATTGAAAATTTTTGATAATTATATAAAGAAAGATATATATATATAAAAACATATTTTATCTATGTCATATAGTTTTCTTTTAGCCCTGCAGCACAAAGAAGTTATTAAAAAGAAATGAAGAAAGAAAGAAAGAAAGAAAAAGTTACAACTGAGAATAGGACAATATTCTAAGAAGCTAGTTTGTAAGGCAGATATTGCTAAAGTTTTGTAGTACTTTATAATCACGAACGACATAATCTTACTTCCCTTTACATTTATCATTTCTCATTTCTCATTGTCCGAGTAGACTTTGTTTCCTTTTGTTTTCTTTACGAAATAATTAGCAATCGTTGCCAGTATTCTAAAAAAAAGAAAAGATATAATTTTTTATTTCTTTTTTTATAAATTGTTAACGTAACTCATGTTTTTTAAATACTGTGAAATGAAATGAAAAATTATTTTACGTATACCGTTGTCTGTGTTTCGTGTAAATGCCTATGTGTTATTGATTAATTCATTTTGTATATTTTAGAGAAGAGGTACATATATAGAGAACTACTATACAAAATATTAAATATAATTATTAACATTTTTTGTTTTGTTTCTCTAACGAATATAATTTATACATTTCTTGGATTGAAAAAGATTCTTTAAAAGTTGTTCATATTGAATTTGATAAAATATAATAATTATTTAACGTTATGTTATTATTGACCATTTCAGCTAACAGTTAATTAAATTTATTTCATTAAACGTAGTTTACCGTTGTAATAAATTTAACATTTATCTTGGCACAGTCGAATATTTATTAATAATATCTTTCATTATTGAAAATGTATATTTTAGCTTCAATTAGAATATTAATTTGGTTTGCTCTTTATATTATTACTATTATTATGAATAATTTATTAATATCAATAGACACATATAGATTTAAAATTGTACATGCATACTTTTCACCCTGTTTTAATGTAATTTAATTTTTACTTTCTTTTTTTATGATTTTTTGTATACGCTTAAGTTAATATTTTTATCCAAATATTTGATCATGAGAATTTACAGTGTGTAAAATTGTACCGAGAAAAACTTGTGCCGATTGAATAACAAATAATGAATTTATAAACAAATTTTGTATCGTATCTTGCGGGTTGATAATGTAAAAAAAAAAAAAAAGTATGAATTTCATTATTTTTGTCCTGCCGAATTTTTCAAACTTCTCAACTTTATATTATATTTATGTATTTATTAAAAAATTATTCGAAGTATGTTAATATCGTTATTTTATTTTTCAAAATAGATTTTAAATCAATGAAATTGTCTTTAATCAAAAGTCATCTAATAATTATTCAAATAAATAGGATTGAATTTTATCGCATGATATTCACGAGCACATCTTATACACACACAGGATATTTTCAATAAAATTGAATCCTCAATACCCGGTTTTGACAACTTTGGAATAGGTGGTACCCATCTGTGAATTTGAAATATTAATCCATGCTTTTATTTTCTGGTTTTTGTATCTTTATTCATCATTGTATAGAGATTTCAAGGGAGAAATTTGTTTTCTCTGGTTGAATATTTACCGAATATGTGTATATATATATATATATATATGTAAATCCGTTTTGTGTGTACGTATCATCTATATTTTGTTGTATTTGATTTATCGATAAATAATATATACTTTTATTCCAATGAAATTTTAATTATAATCACATTATTTATTGCGATCTAATATTACGTACCATTAGAGTACAATTAATTCAATATTAATTCGATAATATGATATCATTTAAATATTATTCATTTTCTATTATTCTACACGATTTGATTGATCGATTAATAAAAGTAAATATCATTTTTTATTTAACTACGTTCGTCCTTTATACAATGATCGATATTTTCTTTATATTAATCGATGCTTCGACAATAATTTAACGAAAGACAATCTTATATTTCTATAATACAAAAATGATTAAACATCTGAAAGAAATAATGTTCTATATCAAAAATATTAAATGATCAAAAACAAATTAAATAAAGAAAATCATATTTCTTTTATGTACATATAATTAAATAATATAATAATTACACCGTACACTTTTGTATTAATCAAATAAATCATTTTTCCATCATATATAACAACAAAATACAATATAAATAATAAAATTAATCGTAAAAAATATGATATACATATATATAAATTTAGCAGACAAAAAGAAAAGGTTAGTTCGGCCGTATAAAAGATAATCACTAAGGATTAGAATGAAAAGGGACCATATAGGGGGTGGTTTTAAATGAGGAATGAAGGAGGTTTAAACGTTAAGTGGTCGTACGTTGTTAATTCAGGCATGCGCTCGTAAGGTGGCGGCTGGTTTAACCTGCTGAGGGTTTTGCAAGAGGGTTTCGTAGGAACAAGACGAAGAACTATCAAGGACGAACACGAATACGCTATATATGCATAGTATAATAGTATAGTATAGTATAGTATAGTATTATATAAAAGAAAGAAAGAAAGAAAGAAAGGAAGAGAAAGAAAAAGAAAGAGAGAAAAAGAGATAGTGAATGAGTGAGTGAAAAAGATTGGGTGTTGTGTGTGTGTGTGTTTGTGCGCGCGCGCGCACCAGACGGGACGTGTTAAAAGGGGGAGAGTTGTGTGTGCAATCCGCGATACGATGCTGTGTGGTGGTACACCCTCGTTCTCGTTGAAATCGCCTCAGTTCATTCGCGACTCTCTTGACACGAGGGTGAAACGGGAAACACCGGTTGTTGTTATAGATATATACATACATTCATATATATATATATATATATATATATATATATATATATATATATCNGATATATATATATATATATATATATATATATATATATATATATATGAATGTATGTATATATCTATAACAACAACCGGTGTTTCCCGTTTCACCCTCGTGTCAAGAGAGTCGCGAATGAACTGAGGCGATTTCAACGAGAACGAGGGTGTACCACCACACAGCATCGTATCGCGGATTGCACACACAACTCTCCCCCTTTTAACACGTCCCGTCTGGTGCGCGCGCGCGCACAAACACACACACACACAACACCCAATCTTTTTCACTCACTCATTCACTATCTCTTTTTCTCTCTTTCTTTTTCTTTCTCTTCCTTTCTTTCTTTCTTTCTTTCTTTTATATAATACTATACTATACTATACTATACTATTATACTATGCATATATAGCGTATTCGTGTTCGTCCTTGATAGTTCTTCGTCTTGTTCCTACGAAACCCTCTTGCAAAACCCTCAGCAGGTTAAACCAGCCGCCACCTTACGAGCGCATGCCTGAATTAACAACGTACGACCACTTAACGTTTAAACCTCCTTCATTCCTCATTTAAAACCACCCCCTATATGGTCCCTTTTCATTCTAATCCTTAGTGATTATCTTTTATACGGCCGAACTAACCTTTTCTTTTTGTCTGCTAAATTTATATATATGTATATCATATTTTTTACGATTAATTTTATTATTTATATTGTATTTTGTTGTTATATATGATGGAAAAATGATTTATTTGATTAATACAAAAGTGTACGGTGTAATTATTATATTATTTAATTATATGTACATAAAAGAAATATGATTTTCTTTATTTAATTTGTTTTTGATCATTTAATATTTTTGATATAGAACATTATTTCTTTCAGATGTTTAATCATTTTTGTATTATAGAAATATAAGATTGTCTTTCGTTAAATTATTGTCGAAGCATCGATTAATATAAAGAAAATATCGATCATTGTATAAAGGACGAACGTAGTTAAATAAAAAATGATATTTACTTTTATTAATCGATCAATCAAATCGTGTAGAATAATAGAAAATGAATAATATTTAAATGATATCATATTATCGAATTAATATTGAATTAATTGTACTCTAATGGTACGTAATATTAGATCGCAATAAATAATGTGATTATAATTAAAATTTCATTGGAATAAAAGTATATATTATTTATCGATAAATCAAATACAACAAAATATAGATGATACGTACACACAAAACGGATTTACATATATATATATATATATATACACATATTCGGTAAATATTCAACCAGAGAAAACAAATTTCTCCCTTGAAATCTCTATACAATGATGAATAAAGATACAAAAACCAGAAAATAAAAGCATGGATTAATATTTCAAATTCACAGATGGGTACCACCTATTCCAAAGTTGTCAAAACCGGGTATTGAGGATTCAATTTTATTGAAAATATCCTGTGTGTGTATAAGATGTGCTCGTGAATATCATGCGATAAAATTCAATCCTATTTATTTGAATAATTATTAGATGACTTTTGATTAAAGACAATTTCATTGATTTAAAATCTATTTTGAAAAATAAAATAACGATATTAACATACTTCGAATAATTTTTTAATAAATACATAAATATAATATAAAGTTGAGAAGTTTGAAAAATTCGGCAGGACAAAAATAATGAAATTCATACTTTTTTTTTTTTTTTACATTATCAACCCGCAAGATACGATACAAAATTTGTTTATAAATTCATTATTTGTTATTCAATCGGCACAAGTTTTTCTCGGTACAATTTTACACACTGTAAATTCTCATGATCAAATATTTGGATAAAAATATTAACTTAAGCGTATACAAAAAATCATAAAAAAAGAAAGTAAAAATTAAATTACATTAAAACAGGGTGAAAAGTATGCATGTACAATTTTAAATCTATATGTGTCTATTGATATTAATAAATTATTCATAATAATAGTAATAATATAAAGAGCAAACCAAATTAATATTCTAATTGAAGCTAAAATATACATTTTCAATAATGAAAGATATTATTAATAAATATTCGACTGTGCCAAGATAAATGTTAAATTTATTACAACGGTAAACTACGTTTAATGAAATAAATTTAATTAACTGTTAGCTGAAATGGTCAATAATAACATAACGTTAAATAATTATTATATTTTATCAAATTCAATATGAACAACTTTTAAAGAATCTTTTTCAATCCAAGAAATGTATAAATTATATTCGTTAGAGAAACAAAACAAAAAATGTTAATAATTATATTTAATATTTTGTATAGTAGTTCTCTATATATGTACCTCTTCTCTAAAATATACAAAATGAATTAATCAATAACACATAGGCATTTACACGAAACACAGACAACGGTATACGTAAAATAATTTTTCATTTCATTTCACAGTATTTAAAAAACATGAGTTACGTTAACAATTTATAAAAAAAGAAATAAAAAATTATATCTTTTCTTTTTTTTAGAATACTGGCAACGATTGCTAATTATTTCGTAAAGAAAACAAAAGGAAACAAAGTCTACTCGGACAATGAGAAATGAGAAATGATAAATGTAAAGGGAAGTAAGATTATGTCGTTCGTGATTATAAAGTACTACAAAACTTTAGCAATATCTGCCTTACAAACTAGCTTCTTAGAATATTGTCCTATTCTCAGTTGTAACTTTTTCTTTCTTTCTTTCTTTCTTCATTTCTTTTTAATAACTTCTTTGTGCTGCAGGGCTAAAAGAAAACTATATGACATAGATAAAATATGTTTTTATATATATATATCTATATAGTATATAAAAAATAATCGAGATAATACTTCGCGATTTTAATTCAAAGTTATTTAAGTGAAAGTGAAAGAGAAAAAAAATAATATAGACCCCACTTTTTGTTTTTTTAATATTTTGAATTTGGAATTTTTAATATTTCATTTTTATAATGTAAATTTTTTGAACGTGTATTTTTTTAAAATAACAAATGATCGGCAGATAAAAAAATTTAAACGATAGGAACGAATCATGTCGATGAAATATTTTTCATTATCAAAATTGTCATTGTTTAATCGTTGTACGTTGTCATTATTTTATTCAACGATGAACGATTCATAGCAATTCATCAATAATAATTATAAGAATAACGATAGATTGAAATATATAGTCGATTGTTAAGCGTGTTCCATTTTGTTCTTTTTCTTTTTCTTTTTCTTTTCTTTTTATTATTCTGTTATATCATTGTCGAATATTATTTTGATTATTCGAGGGATGATTATATTATCACGATGACGAGAAAAATGATAATAAGGAAGATGGGTGTTTCGATGATATTAGATCAATTTCAATTGAAAATAATTATCATTCTCGGCTTGATTTTTTACATCGACACAACACAAGCCGGAAGTTGCAGTGCCGCTAAGCTTTGTTGTCAAGGAAGGGATTCCGGTTGTGTCATACAAAAGGAATCACCTAATGCCATAATCGAAAGCCCAAGAGACAAACCGTGTTACTGCGATCACGCGTGTCTCAAACTTGCCGATTGTTGCGACGATTTTAAAGAAACTTGCGGCGGTGAGTTGTTAAAATCATTTTCTTTTTTTTTTTTTTACTCCCCTTGTAAAACCTGTCAAATATAGGTTTTCTTTTTTTTTTTTAATACTTTATAATTATTTATTATTATTCGACTGGGAAAGGGTTTGTAATTATGATTCATCCTTCCAATTTAAAAACTTTCCTATTTCGACGACTTTCTTATTACATTTTAATTTTGTTTTTGTTTTTTTTTTTACAGTATACAGGATTATTCACTGATGCGAATTAAATACGCGAAAATTTACATATTTCGTAATATTTTGTTTCTTCTCTTTCGTAGACCATCAAAGTCCTTTTTAATGTTCGATAATTTTGCAAAATTATTATGCGAGTTTATTTTAGAGTGCATTTTGTTCTTTTTTTTTTTTTTCCTAATTTCCAAGTTACATAATTGCGAAGTAATTTAAATGTAATTAGTTACCTTTAAGCAAAGTTCACTTTGAACAAGGAGTCGAGTTGTTGAACATCTTTCGAATCTTCGTTCGATGAAAGAGAAAAGTTAATCATTTCTTTTTTTTTCCTTTTTTTTTCTTGATATTCAATAGACTTATCATACATATAACGTAATATAATTTTTATTCATTATATTTGATGTTGATAGCGTAAATTTGCTTCGTGGGGTACGATCTTCGAAAAAAAAAAAAAAAAGAAAAAAACTGGGAATAAAATGAAAATAAAATAAAATAAAATGAAAATAAAATAAAATAAAATAAAATAAAATAAAATAAAATAAAATAAAATAAAATAAAATAAAATGAAATGAAATAAAGAAAATACATGTCAGGCAAACGGATAGGTGTAGTACGACTCGAGTACAAAATTGACGTGACGAACGCGATAAATTCAATGTGTGACGTTTTCAACACGTACGACAAGTTTTTCCCCCTATTTGTAATCTCGTTTAACGGGTTTTACACGCTTTTCACTAGCGTATACGTAATAACATATTTATATACATACACGTTAGAAAGAAACATAATATACAAATGTCTAATACATACGTTTTCTGTTATTGCATTTATTCGCTTTTTTCTTTTTAATCAAATTTAAACAAATTTTCTTATCTTTTCTTTTCTTCTGGACGGGAAACATTTTTCTTAGACGACGTTAACGAATAAAATTTTATGAAACGATATGGAGAAAAAAAAGAGAAAAAGAGAAAAAGAGAAAAAGAGAGAATGAGATTATGGAACGTTCTAATGTGAATACCTTGATAATGTTCGATATATCATCTTATAAATAATTATTAATTTATAACTTATTTTAATTATCATATAAATAAATATTATATTAATTATAATTATATTAATAAAATATATGTTAGATGCACTGTCCTTTTCGAAATCTCAGATAATGATAACTTGGAGGTTAAAATTGTCCTGTAACATAAGTAGAGTGCATTAGTGCATTAAAATAATTGTTAATTATTCGATACAAGTGCTTATAGTTGTCTAAAAGCACGGAGTATATGTTCTGTGTACCGTCCTCCTCGAAATTCACCTTCAGACTGGCACGTTGTCTTCTCTATCAAAGTTATTTTATTAAAAGTTGTTTATATGACTTCTTGAAAAAAGAAATTCTATTTATTACGCGATTATTATATAAAATAATATTATTATATACATTTTTTCTTCGATTAATTAACAATCATTTAAGGTATGTTGAACATTCTAATGTACTCTACTAATAATATTAGGATTGTTTGAATTAATATACATTTGTTTTAACTTTCCTGGCCATTGACTTTTGACAATGATTTTTCATTTCCAATGGGATGTGCCAAAAAGAAAAAAGGATCGAAATTTAAGAAGATTTTAAACGACGTCTGAAATATTTTTTGCTAGAATTTTAAATAGAGGTTTTAAAGGTTTAAAGGTTTAAAATAAAATTAGGTCTCGCTGAAAGGTAACTAACAAAATATATTTATGCATTAAACAAAATTCCTTTACGCGAAAAACCCTAGATAATTTACATTATTTTAAAGATAACACGTATCAAAATGTATATTTAACAATTATTGAAAATAATTAAAGAGATCATTTTTATAATCATCGATATGTATATTTAAGACAAACGATAGGATTCAAAAATAAATAGGGTAATAATAATAAGGTATAAAATGTTAAATTATTATGTCAAAAGATTAAACAAATTATTGATCGCGTTAAAGTTATATTAAAATAGGTATAATTAATGTTGGATTAAAACAACCCTTTTGAACGAAATCCTAAAGAAATCTCTATGTGCGAAAAAACTAAAAATTATTTTGTTTAATAACTTAATATTTCCATGTTATTAGAAATACGAGTATTCTACAGATGTAACTCTCTCTCTCTCTCTCTTATTCGTGAAGTAAGTTAGATGTATGAGAAATCGATATTTCAAATTAATAGGATTTTATACCGCTCGACCTAATTTCTTTCTTTTTTTTTTTCTTTTCTTTTCTAAAAAGAGGGAAAGGCAGATAGACAGAAATAGAAAAAAAGAAAAAGAGTGGGAGAGAGAGAGAGAGAGAGAAAGAAATTGTATCGTTTAATTAAAATCGTGAAATCGCGTTAAAGCAACGAACTTGATGAGAATAGTAGACGAGAAAAGAGAACACAAGTTGATAAGATAATTTAGTTAAATGGTTGTTTCTATAATCCGTCGATTATAAAATTCGTGTATATTATTAGAATTTATTTCAATATATCGTTGAATATTATTTATCATTTGACATAATAAACAATTTATTATTATTATTATTATCTTACATTATTTTAATCGTTCACGATTATAAAATAATTCATTTCTTTTAGCTCGTGATTTATTACACAACGTTTTTATGACTACTAGCTGCTCAAGTGAATTCGATAATATTAGAGAGAGGGAGAGAGAGAAAATGAATAAGTACGGAAAAGGAGTCATAGTGATTTGCTAAAGGAACGAATAGGTGCAAAGCTTTCTGCCGGAAGACGATTAACTTGCTTCCGGGGACCGGAAGTTAGAGTCTTCTGTCATCTTCAAGACATAAGAAGCTACGTAACCATCACGTTCCTCCTATTATTTGTTCTTACTTCTACTAAATCGAGTATTAAATACACAAACAATTTTATCTTCTTATATTTGAAAGTTTTATATTTGATTTTTTTCTTTTTACTTTTTTTACTTTTTACTTTATATATTTTATTTCACGCTCTGTCTCTTAGTTTCTTTCGCGAAAATAATTAAGTTCCTTCGTATTGTTAGATTCGTGTTAGGTAAATACTTTGTTCTTTTTTTATTGTATTATCATTACTATTTGAAATCAATCGATTATATTAATCATTTATTTTCAACTCGTCTCGCGACAAACAAATATAGAAAAGTTTACGTTCAGTTTGACGAACACGTAAACGTGAAAGAATAAAACGAAAAAAAAAAAAGAAAAAAAAAAAAAAAAAAAAAAAAGAATTTATTATTATTTAATTATTTATATTTTTGACAAAATATTTTGGTTTAAATGAATAATCAAACGGATGCACGAGAGAGAATATTTTTATTCATTTAAAAAATAATCATATCGTAGAATTTGTGACACGTCGATATTTTATTATTAACGTATTAATCACAAATTCGCAATATATACCCGACCGAAAATTTTTTCAAATACTATTCTCGAAAAAATGAAAAGCTTGCTTTTTTTTCTTTTTAGAAAAAACATTGTATCAATGTTACTATAATATTTTTTTTTTCCTCTCTCTCTTCGTATGACACCGGTCGGCAAATAACAAAAGTAAAAGAGAAAAACCGAAAAAATCAAAATAATAAAAAATGTGTTCGATTTCGCACTGAAAAAAAAATAATTTCAAAAGATTTTCTTTTTCAAATACAAACACCGTTTCTTTGTTTAATTTTTTTTTCCCTTTCTCTCTGTCTCTCTAAAAAACTATACAATAAAATACAATACCCTAGTGTGTCAATGATAATAAAATTGCAATTAATTATATTTGCATTTGAATATTTCATATTTTTCAGGTACTAGAATATGCGTGGAGGAACGTGGACAGGAAGATGACGAGGAAGATAAAAAAAATGATGGAATTAGTAGTAGTATTAATAATAATAAAATTATTAGTGGTAGTAGTATCGATAATAGTATTAGTAGTAGTAGTAGTATTATTAAAGAAGGTAGAAGAGGAAAGTTGTTCGTGGGTATTGGCAGATGGAAACTATCGACGTCCTATGAGGCCGGAAGTGCTGTTAGAATTGCTATGAATTCGAGCTGCCATGGGAAATGGATAGGCGATTCAAGGCTTCTCATCGATTGCAATGATCCAACTTGTGGAGATAATACTAATACTACTACACGTTTACGCGTCGATAAACGTCTACGAAGAAGCTTGCAATCCAAGGATAATAATATCGTCAACGATAATAACGACGATCAGGAAAATTATAACGATCACGATTACAATGATGATGATAATTATTTTCGAAGGACCAAAGAAGATATTAGGGAAAGGTGCAGAAGAAGGAGGAGGGGTAGACGACGAAAGAGAAGCAGAAGAAGAAGACACGATCTTTTTAATGTCAAATCTTAATTCTATAAACACGATTATATTATTATGTTTATTATTATTATTATTAATGTACGAACTTGTGAACAAAAAAGAACAAAAAAAAAAACACACACACATACACTCAGATACTTATACGCAAATAGAGGAATCCATCGTGTATCTTGCGCCATTTATCTTATTTTTTGTATTTCCTTAATTTAATCCTCTGTAATAAGGTTCCTATTTAAAAAAAAAAAAAAAAAAAAAAAAAAAAAAAAAAA